ACCAAGACTTGCAGGAGTGCAGATATCATATTGCCGTAAATAGTAGTGCAGATTTAGAAAATTAGCAGAAGCAGGTTAGGAGACTATCACCTATCTCAGGTAGCAATGTGTTATGAATAGCACTCCGCATAAATGTAACAGCCTCCTTAAAAGGTAGGAAAGAAGACTTGTCAACACCATTAATGTTTGGGCAGGAAGGAGGAAGATCACCACACCCCGACCACGCCCCATGGGCTGCAATAACTTGTCTTTCTTCAGTTTCAGGACCACGCACGCAGACATACATTAGCAACCTTCACTTGCGGAGGGCTAGACACGCGATGATCACAGTAACCATAATAACTACTACATAAGTCATAAGCGTAATAATAATGATCAGATCGAAATGAAAAGCTCCCATACCTACCACAGAGGCAGTAGCAACTATTACCCAGTTCTAACATCAGCACTGGTACCAAAATGACAGACATAATCAATGACATCAATGACTCCATTACGACGTATTTTATGCATGAACCATTTTACCTGAAGAAAACCAAAACCATAACCCGGGCATTCGCTTTCGTAAGCATGAGCCAATATCACTGGCATCAGCAGTCCCCTAGCAACACCTTTGAAGTATATATCAATCAATAGCATCCTTCACCATACAAATCCGTCCAACTTACCACATAAAAAATTGCCAATAAAATAGTAACCACAGAGAACAGGAACACCACCACCACCACCGATACGAGAATTATCCATCAATGCTGTTTATCTGAAAGCATTAATGTAATCACCATCGTTTCCATCCCCTAAGCAATTCCTACATAGTGTAAAGGAGACAATCACACGGATATGTGGATCAGTCTGACATGCCTCAGTAACACCGAGGTCTCATATGCAAACAATTTGTGATCAGACTTCTATTTTACACTTCATCCCAACCAGTAGCAAAAATTGTTTCTTAGGCTTTTAGCCACTACATGATCGTGAAATCTGTACCCAATCGTCTATGCTATTAATTTGGTTTAGACCTTAAACTAAGTGAATCATGGACAGCAAAGAATAAAGCAGGAAATCTCTTATTTGCAGATGAACTTTACTCACTAGTTCTTCGAACGTATTGTAGGCGTATGTGGCTGGTTATTAAACGCATTTTGTTTGACCTAAGAATTGAGGCTAAATGAGAAGGAAAGTTTAACTTCGAAACCACCCGTAAAACAAATGAAAGCTATGCTTTCACAAAGTTAACTTACTCAAGACGATTATATTTTTCTGGTTTCCTATTGGTTACCGAGTGATAAATAATGCGTGTTCATATGTTTGCTTGACCTCGTTTTGGCAACTTGGTCCGAGCGTCAAGGAGATCTTGAGGACCGTATATAGCTCTGCGTCCTCTGCCACAGTATTCGTGATCACCAGCATCGGACGATTGGCTTAGTACATTTCCAGAAGTTTCGCTGGCATCATAGTCGCCATCATCAATGAGAGTTGCCATCGTTAACACAAGGTTACAACTTGTCAAAGTGACTTATCATTAACGAAGCGTCTGGGAATGTACTAAGTCAATGGTCCAATGGTGGAAATCACAAATTCTATTGCAGAGGACGCAAGACTAGATACGTTTCACAAGGTCTCCCTGACGCTCTGAACAAATTAAGAAAACGAGGTAAAACCAACACTATAAAGCTAAAGGAGACTGCGACTGAACAGTAGGCCACACCATCTTGGTCTTCATATCCACGATCGAAATTGTAATTAACCTTAGGCGAAGCCAATATACATTCTAGATGAGAAAATTCTGATGATTGAGGGTTCGATCCAGATGCCTTATCGCAAATGACGATAATAGAAACATAAGCCCCCAGCGCATGAGACAGAGGAACTTATCCTTGATACATGATAGTACTTATAGACGTTAGTCTTTTCGTTATATTTTAAATCTTTAACTTTATGTGTTTATATCACTGGTCATATTGTAGCAAGGCGAAAAGGCCTCACTATCAATTTGTATAACTGTAGCAGAACCATCACCACTCGAAGTTTGGTAGACCTACTATGAAGTTCTCATTTGAAGTTGGCAAATAGGAGGCGAAAGTAGTACTAGCATTTTGTAAGCCACATCTTGCAAGAGTCTAATTGTTGACAAGCTATATCATTTGCCGCATGAAATTTGATAGACAGTCATAGATTTGTGTTGGTTCGACCCAGTTTTCGCAACTTGCTCGGAGCGTCAGGTAAACTTTTTGGAACGTATCTAGTATTTGTGATTTCCAACATTGGAGCAGTGGCTGGGTCCAAGTTGTGAAAACAAGGTCGAACTAACAATATAAAGCTAGAGGAGTCTGCAGCCAAACAGAAGACCACACCATCTTGGTCTTCATATCTACATTTAGCGATTAGACTCATGCTTAGTTAAAAAGAAGACTTCATTTTGCAATGAGATCCTCCTACTTTCAGAGGGATTCGAACCGTGGACATTTTGATCTAGAAAAAAACATGTTGCCTTCTAGGCCACATGGCATGAGAGGCATCGCGTATTGACCTTAGGCGAACAATCATAACTCCTCTTATAGTAATCGTAGGTGAAAAAGTTAGCGTTCTATGTAATCCCATACGAAAATAATGCGTCTTTATACCAATAAAGTCGATTATGAAGATATGAGTTGAGCATGTCTGCTTTGCATTGCATGCATCACTTTCGGTGTGACTCCATAGGGGTTAGAATAGTGTTGCTTAGGTGGTGAAATTTCTGCCTTTTAACCATCACTTCTATAGATAAAATCCTGTTGGGACTACTGATGAGCTTTAGGCGAACCGGAAACTGTCATTCGGCCTCGAAGAGAGCTGTTTGCTGGGGTGCATAGCACAGTATTTTTCCACACAAAATCAAAACTTTTCTTGAATTTATCTTGTAACGCTATAAGACAAGTGTAAAATAAACTTGAACTCGATGCAAGGCAGGCAGGCATATATTAGCTAGATCTGCAATAAACTCACTTGCACGTTTATACAAAGAACATTTGTATATTCAACAAGTAGAAATTGTCCTCATTTTTTCACCCTAGCGATGCATAATTGTGCACAACTTGTGGTCATTTTTTATCAGTCAATCTTTACAAGAGCGGTATTTGGTTGCTTGAAAAAAGAAATCACTTTTAGAGAATTCTCTTAGGAGCAGACAGTAACTGTTTAACTTTTACCAGTAAATTGATTTATAAATCTTAAGTTATCCGAATATATAAAAGCCAGTGTATAGTAAATGCATCGTCCTGAAGATGTCTTCCGCATCATAGATAGAAACTCGACGAAACTTGGCACAAATCGAATAGCACTGTTTCAAAGGCGGTTTGGCTCATTACAATAATGACTCAAATGGCTTATAATTCTCAAACTGTCTAAAACTATTTATAATTCACTTAGAAATATTTGTAGGAAGCTGTGACAAAGATGTCAGCCGGTGTATTATAAAAGAAATGGTTACGGTCTTATTATATACGAAGAAAAGTTGAGTTTCGAGGAATCTCTTGTTTCATAATTGTTAAGCTTACTTCCATTTCGAGTGAAGGTGTTGGGTGAAGAGATTGCAAGGTCGGTTCCGCCAGAAGACGACGGCGGATTCCTCTTGACCAGCTGTCGAATGGCTTTACTGGAAGATTCATGCTGACGCTGTTTCCGAGGTAATCTCCTTCGATTCCGGTGAAAAGGTACTAAGCTTTCGTCCGTCATATGACGAAAATCATCAGAGCAAGGTATCATCGTCACAAAAAAATTTTCTTGACTCGTTAGCTTTAATTTTGTTGTGACGATGATACCTTGCTCCGATGATGTTCGTCATATGATGGACGAAAGCTTATCACCTTTTCACCGGAATCGAGGGAGATTGCCTTTGAAACAGCGTCAACATAAATCTTCCAGTGAATCCAATCGACAGCTGGTCAAGAGGAATTCGCCGTCGTCTTCTGTTGGAACCGACCTTTGAATCTTTTCACCCAACACTTTCATTTGAAATGGAAGTAAGCTTAACAATTAAATTATTATTTACCGTGAATATGCGATTCAAAGCAATTCATAAATGGGATAAATTGGGATTGAGTTAATTTCGTGTTTTAAGCGTAGGTACGAAGACTAAGATGGCATGGTTTCCCTTCTCCTTATTAATTATAGACAGAGAATGCAGACTAAACTAGCGACCACACTATCCTAATCTTTATACCCACAATTAAACTAGGGAATAAAGATTGCCACATAATACACTAAATATAGCCTGGCAGAGAAGAAGATTGTAAGTCATTCACACCACTTGACCTTTTTAAATTGTTGAAAATGTTATGTTGTCCCTCTTGGATACTGAATTCTAATGAGGCATTGCCATTCATTTTCCATGCTCCATCTAGGAATTAGAATAAACTTTTAATATAGAGATAATATATTATTTAGGTTCAATGATATCAGAAGACGCACTAATGGGTACGTTCTAGAAGGTATTCCTGTAGAACCCGAACTCGATTAAGTTGCCATAATGAGATGTGACAAATTATATATATAAATATAAGGCCACGCCATCTTGGTTTGCATTTGTGTAATATAGATGGAGTTCTTAGAAGAAGAATAAACAAATTAACTCAGCTTTGTCTGGTTAACTGATAGCCGATGGAGATAATATTGTCAAATATATGAACCATTACGTGCAGATTGCTAAAGAAAGACGTTCAAAAGTGAATATGTCTAGCATCCTGCAAAATGACGCGGAAATTAAGACATATATTAAGGAAATACAATATTCAGGTGATGCGAAATAAAAGTTATTCCACTTAACGGGCTTGTTCACGCAACATGAAAAGTTAGACAAATTGCTCGATAGTTAATTGCATAACATGGCCCTGTAAAATGAGAATAGTTAAAGATGAAAGATTAAAGAGTCCTAGGGAAGAGGTTGTACGAAGGCCAAATTATTGAATATTTTGGTTATTTTTAAACAAGGTGAGATAGAACCAGGTCTATTTTGAACAAAAGGAAATTCTATCATAAGTTGAACGATGTAAAGGTACAAAGGGAAACAAGGATAAGATAATTGCAGTGAGTTTAGTGAAACCAGTGAATCAATAATAACCTCAATATTTACGGGTTATGTGTACAAGGAAATATAGCAAGGGATACTGACAACCATCTTAGGCACTTGCTAGTAGGGATAAGAGAATGGGTACAGATAGGCTACATATCCATTTGGACCAGAGTTAAGTGCCCATTTGGATGACCGTACACGGATTAAGTCAGTGAGATGGTTCTTGAAGTCAATTTCTTAACATCGGGTATACTAATCCAGCATACACGTCAAATAGGGACCATGGTACCAAAGGGATATTAACAAGTATTTTATTATATAATATTATATATATATATATATATATAATATAAAGGCCTCAACGATGAGGCTGCCATATACGTTCCAGAACATGGGAAATAACGCCACGAGAATGAGGGATCCTTCAGCCAGTGCGATAAGCAACTGTTTATGTAGAAATAATCTGATAGAAGTTGGCTAAAGTGGTGTTTTCAGACCAAATATCCAAATTGGATCAGCAATTAAGACACAGTGGGGGAAGCGTAAACCAGCAAGAAATGTGATAAAGCCCCAGTAAGCCATCTAAACGAGCGCATTTCTGGAGTAGATCAGAAAAGACATAGAAGAATTTGCGATTGAGAGGGAGTAAAATAAGGCATGAGGTGCTGAAGTACGGATTGTTGAATTATCCCACATT